TGATTTTATGGTGAAAATAACTTAAAAAAAGACATTGTATTATTTTTAATAAAGAACATTATGTTTGTTTAGCTTGTATTGTTGAACTTCTGTACACACATTCAATAACACTTTTTTTATTTAGTATTGTGGCGGTGTAAATTATCGCTTTGTATGAAGTAAAAAGTATAAAATATGCTAAAGTTGTAATGGTAAAATGTTTAAAAATTCATAATCAAACTCTAGTTAGGTATTTGTGTTTAAACTCGAGTTGACTGTAATATTATGCAATTTAAATCGCCGATCATCGTTTTCACCAACCATATTTCTAATTTAAGGATAATTCTATAATATTGTTAAGCATATACATATTTTATACCGGTGTATACACTGTATAGCCTATAGGATTCAATAAATTGCAAAATTCTATGTAATAATATTATTTTATTTGTTCTGAAAGCTTCCTTGTGTCAAAAAAAAAAAAAATGCGTTAATCATCTATACAAGTACGATTTTTTTCTACGTGATTTAATTATTATTAACGAGGTCTCGAGTCGATCATATACGTCTTGTAAAAGTAAATTATGATATTATGTATAACCACCACAGATGGCAGATTAATATTAAGTAGCTTGATATTATTTACGTTAAAGGAACGTTACATGAGTGCATATTTTTGAGTTGACGGTAGACTATAGGTAGGATGCTCAAAAACTGATTGTCCAATGCTTTTGGTAAAATGTGCAGAGTAAAAAAAACAGAAAAGACGAAATTATGGTGTTTGTGGTGGTTGAACCAAATGATCGTCTAATATAATCGCGTTTGCTTTATTTCCTTTATTCCGGTTGATGGGATGTACACGCACTTACATCTCATTCCAACGGGACGTGTTCCCTCGAGGGTGTCCTGCACGCGCACACACACATACAAAATCGATAGATCTACAATATTTATACTAGAAAGAGGGATGAGATACGCCGTCACCGCTTTCGGACGACCGGTGGGCACCGGGGTGATACAGCACATCGATTAAGTGATCTTATAATATTGTTATCAATACAACAATATACACTATATATGAACGCTATGCATGTCTTGGTTTAACCGACAATAACGAAAAACGACGTTGTGTTTGAACAAGGGGAACATCTGCTTCGGTGTGTGTGTGTGATGGAAGTGAAGGGTTACGCGTACGCGAAGGTGTTTGGAGGGAAATAAAGAAATGTGACAGGGAACTGACAAAATGTTGGTAACAATGAATCGCCGCAGCCGGTTGTACCTACGCCCACCGATTTTTTTTTTTAAACGAAAAATAGCAAAAAGCGCCGTGCGATGTAGGTAAGTATATAACGGCATAATATAACGTTAACGTTTATTTTATTTATTTATAATACCCGGTGGCGGTGTGTTCAGGTATACCTAAATGTTGGCTAACATAAAAGGCTTTTATTGGTCCCAACATTGGTGGGCGGAATATTTTGATTAGCGACCTGTCATCGGACCGTGGCCCGGAGTACAATGCTATCGACGATCGTAAAAGGGGTAGCAAAAGTTACACCTTCGTCGAGGATTATTCACCGGCCAAAAATAATATAATGGTCGTGCTATACACACGCCGACCAGCATGTGTGTGTGTGTACACATTAAAAATCGGTATTTACCGCTACATTATATCGCCATCCACATATTATTAAGTATAAGTGAGTGCCTAAACTATATTATTATGTTATACAAGGGCAAAACATGCGTGTGCTCGACGACCGCAGACTTATCGATTCCGGGCCGCCGTTGCCAGTATTGTGTTGAGAACAGAACGAGGAATGCATGTGAAAATCTGTTGAAAATTCCAAACCGCAATTATTGCATTGAGGACTTTGAGCACCAATTTTCGCATAACTATTAAACATTTGTATTCAATAAGAAAAAAAATAGCAGAAATCTCGGGGTTCAATTAACTCCATAATTCGATTAAGTGATGAAAAAAATCGGATGTTCAGAATACTGCAAACGGCCAAACAATACAGGCGAACCATCTGTTATTAAATAGGTACCAGCTAATAGCTATACCTATATACATATAATTTACAAGATAATATACCTAAGTATTGTAAATGAGATCTATACTTTGATCATTGGTTGTAACTTCTCGTAAAATAGGGTCATTATAATTTAATACACTAAATAGTATAGTAAGTCAAAACAAAATATTGTAGGTACAATCTATAGACGTGATCAACAATTGTCTAAAAACGATTAGGTATATTATAAAACCACGTACAAATATGTAATTGAACTGGATAGCTTTTGTCAGACTTCGTTCTAGATACTTGTCAAAATTAAATGTGGATGAGTTATATTTGTATACCAATTGATTCCGTTCTATTACTCCAAAATATTAAGAAAAGTTATATGGTAATAAATTATCCTACTTTTGTAGGAGAGTATAATATGTAAATAAAATAAGTAAAACAGCTAAAATTAAAAAATGATATTCTTATCCGTTATATAAAGCATATGTGATATAATGTTGTCCGCCAATTTATAATTAAATTTACGTGGATCCGTATGTTATTTGTATACTCGCGTATTTAATTCTTAACGTATAATATCTAGCTCTTGGTCGGGATAATATTCACGCGAATATTATTAAAAACACTCTTGATCACGTGACTATTATTAATACACGTGATCACATGTAAGACTTTTAACTAATTCACGTGATTAAAAATACCTGTGCAGGTTTTATATGATTTGTATTCACGTGATCCGTGAACCGCCATCACGTATGTTAACACATATTAACTACAGTATTCAAGTGCGTAACCGAGACCCCAAGTTTCTACCATAAAATGTTTGTTAATCGATTTCTAATTTTTATTTCTATTTCATTTTAATACAATTTCGACCGTCCATAAAATCCTATTAAATTATAATATTTTATCGATTTTTTAACTGTTTTTCTTTCTTTTGAATTACACTTTTCATCTCATAGTGGAAAAAAAACGGATTTAAACTATATTGAATACCGAGACGGCGAGAGTTACTCCGGTAATATTATTTGATATTATGGAAACCATATTATAACTAATAGTAAAACTGTTATAAAATAAAATTAAAGCTTGCATATTTATATTCAAAAACGAATTAACACTGAAATCTCTCATAAAACATTTCTTTTTTTATAAATTGTTTTCTGTATTTTTCAAATAGCGTCACTCTATTGTCCCCAACAATATAATACTCCTTTTACAATAAACAAAATATATCAAACCTAAGTTATAGGACAACAGTAATTTTATAACAATATAATATATTTACCAATAACTTTTTTTTATTATGTTAAATAAGTAAGTACTATAAGACGGCCATAGTATGACCACCAATAAGTAATATTTTTATTTGACAACCGAAAGCGATTAAACGTACCTAATTGCATGTTGTTTTATTCATTTTGTGTGTACAGAATATACATTTAGCTTACTCTTGAAGAAACGATGAAAATAGTTTGTCTTATAATATTATCTTGTCATCGGTCATCAGCAACAACCTTATTTAGAAAATATAATTTGATTAGTATATGGATCTAGATGGAGACGTCTTGTATATTATAATATCATGCTTTTTATGGCTATCTTGTCCAATTTATTGTGCGACTGACGTTAGGTAATTGTAGAAGGCGTTGAATACTGTATTATAATACTATAAATTATGTAGGTATGGGTATGTTTACAAAAGGAACCTTCAGTACCTTGCGCGTGTTGACAGTGGTACACCAATTACAACTTTAAATTAATAATTGATTACTGTGCATCATTTGAGACGTCCTCGTGTATTTAACAATGTTGATACATATACATATAAATAATACATACAAATACATACATCCAACAGCAAGTTAACAAGGGAGTCAAACCAGCCCCTTTGAACAAAACGCAATCACGCGCGAAGTCTCCTCTCGGTCGTAGCCTCTCACATCTCATTCTTCTCGGTCGCCCGCTCTTCCTTCTTGCTTTCACTGCCACCACAATGTGTGTCTCGCTCTTTTATATGCCTAAACATAACATAAAAAAAACAGCAGGTCGTACCACTATCGTCGTCACCATGGATACGGGTGGAAACGAGCCATGGCTTTTTGCTACCACCGGATGTGTGTGCGCGCGCGCGCGTGAGTGTGTATACTTAATTTTCTTTTTGTTTTTTATTTTTACCAATATGTAGAAAAATGCGTAAATTAAGTTTTTACAAAACTTAAAAAAAAAAACCAAACAAAAGCGGTAAATAATTTTATATTGCAAATACAATATTCTGAGAAATGTAATTACTATATTGTATTTAATCGTTAAGGAATTTCTTCAATTGTTTATTTCGATTTTGGTTTTTTGTTTTAACGATACCTTAAACATTTAATATTAACAGTCGAGCCAAGAGGAGTTTTTGTAAAAGCAAAACATGCGAAAAAGCGGTAGTGACAGAATTCCCGGAAATATTATCTTTAGGGAATTATTACTTATGAATACCTAGTAGTATTCTCTTCCCGAAACTCCAGCAGAGAATTAAAAACCATGGAATAAAACAGAATTGTGCTAAAAGAAAAACATGTTTTTTATTAATTAAAATTCTACTTGAGGTCACCTATTCAGACGGATTTAAAGGGTTTTTACTAAATTTCAAAGGCTAAGAAAGTATAATAAGATTTTTATATCCTTATTATGTTTATACAAATATAATAGGTACCTACATTAAAAGAATCACTGTTACCTGTATCCAGTTTAATTAAAATGCGTATTTAAATTACACCAAGAACATTTTCTTAGTTTTTTTCGTATTAATGTTATTATAGATTTTACTAATTGTGCTGAGATAGGCGAAAGCACTTTAGTGTATTGGTAAGCTTTCATTATGCAAACCTGTGAACTAAACACAATTCGTATAGTGTATTGTGTTGTACTAAAACCCCTTTGAGTGATATATTATTGTTTGCAACTATAAATACATTACTTAAGGTAATTTTTATCTTTCAGGATTAAGTCATTTAAATCGTCAAGAATCCGGCAAGGACTACAGCAATGAGGGAATGACAACGTCTTTTGGATCCAGCAAGAAGAAGAAAAAAAGAAGGCACAGGCAAGCAGTTAAATAAAAGTCCCCCCTCTAAAAGTCATATGATTTTAAAAATAGAGCAATAAGTATAGTTGAGCATAGAATTCTAAAAATAAATTATTAAAATAATTACATAGGAAATAATGTATTTTACAGATAATTTATTTTAGGTTAACCATTATAGGATTCCACAACAGATATCTTACAAATACTAATACCATTTAACGTTCTATAATACATTTTTAGGACTATATTTACCAGTTACCAATTAGAAGAATTAGAAAAAGCATTTAAAGACGCTCACTACCCTGATGTTTATGCTAGAGAAATGCTTTCCTTAAAAACCGATTTACCAGAAGACCGGATACAGGTAAGGAAATATTTTCAAATTTTATTAAATATTTTATCTTGGGAGAAATTATAACTACATTATAAAGTAACCGTTAACCTAGTAGTACCTAGTTATTAAGCATATTGGCGTTCATCATTCATAGCATTTTAATGACCCATATATTTTTGTTTTATAGATTATTAAAGTACTGTATATTAAATTTATATAAATACAAAATATATAATATAATAGCTGAATAAATATATAGGAATACCTATTTCCTACATAAAGAGGAGGTACAAGATTACAAATGTTAATAATAGCCAAATCCAAATGTATACTTCCTATATCATTAAAATTAATAATTTCATTAATCATTACAGTTTTCATTTGAATGTAAAACACAAAAGTCATCAGTTAACACTCAAATCTCAATATATGAAATTCGTAGTAGGTACTAACTACATATTATTGTATATTTAGCCGTATAAAATTTAAAAGATATAAATATTCCTCACAGCAATAGGCAATACACTTTAGGAATGGTATTTCATTGATAAATATAATATTGCATACTGGTTGTCGCAGTATTCTTAAAATAGGCAAAACATTTTTACATAATATTTATAATTTTTAACAGGAATTCTAACAATATTGTTTACTTATCTCATTCTTGTTTCTCATTTATTTTTTATTATAGCAATTCTCTCTAAACCGCATCAAAACATTTGGAGGAAATTTATAGTTTTAAATTCGTGTGTGTGGTTAGGTAGAGGCTAAAATATATTATGTTGTGTTATACACATTGATATCTGTGTCTCGAGTCATTATAAAGTAAATTGCGGCTGAATTAAACATTCTCGGTAGCTATATTATTATAATAACTGTAAACATAATAAATAGTAATAATAAAGTCTCTCGTGCAATTATAACGGTAAGCATTATTCATACATTATAATATTATGTTTGTCGGCGGTGACTTGATGTAAAAATTAAAAATATTTATTTAACCGAGGGAACGTGTTGGAGCACAGCCATTGGACAAGTGGCCAATTAACGTATAGGGCGACCAAGGCGGAGTCTATAATATACCAAAGTGGCGACGGCGCGCAGTACCATTAGACGGGAAACACGAAACAACTGTGTACCGGTCTGCCGGTCATGGAAGCTAACCTAACCGCTTAAATTTAGAACATTATTATATACTCACTTAGTTCAGTTATTAAAATTACTTCGTGACGATTCATTGAATTTTTATTTTTAAATGGACGCTACCTAACTATTTTCAAACAGAAACCTACCTATCTAAATAAAGTACATATCTATAAGTAAATTTAAAAAAAAATCTTACTTTGAAGCTTACACTATTAAAATGTGTAGATAAGAGTATACTTATTAATATAGACGTCAGCCACAACAATTCGCTTTTTTGGTTTTAATCTTTAATTCAGTATTTTCTATAGAAAAAAATTACAATTTTGCCACTGTTATAATACAGTAAAAATTTAACAATAAATAAAAGACAATTTTATATGTGGTTAACCGTTTTTAAATTTATTGTTTATCATTTGTTGAAAAATATTGAAAATAAAACATATTCACGTTAAAACTAAACTTTAAAATTCATAGAAAAAAATGTTCTATTTTCAAAATAACCGGTAAAATATAAACAAATATCGATAGAATAATATAGTTAAATATATTTCGGTCGTAATAACTTTTTCAGGTTAATTTAAAGTGTCTTTAAAAGAAACATTTCTCAGTGTTCATATTTTAATATCAGTTGTACGATGATTTAAAACAAAATACCTTACAAATTTTTGATGCGGTTCGATTTCAAGCCAGTAAAAAAAATACGAGCACATGTAGTCTCTTGACTAGGTTTTTTTGAAAACCGATATCGTTTATAAATAATAAACTTTTCATTTTCAATATATTTTTTATCGATCTAACTTCATTTTTGTATACGCATCACTTAAGTTTAAATAGATAAAAATGGCAACGATACGTCATTTAGGTAAAGTTAAGTTAGGTTAGGGAACGTGTCAATTAATTTGAGTATCAGTACGCATAAAATACAATTTTAAATGTAAATAAATATTGAGAAAACATACAGGTAGTGAGAAGAAACAAATTAACTACAAGTTAAGTAGATTTTTAACTTATCTAAAGAATCATGAAAGATATCTGTATTTAGTTTATTACAAGAGCTCAACTAATTGGCGCATTAGGGCCATAAACAGTCTTGTCAGTCCTACGTTTCTTTATCTGGAAATAGAAATCAGACCTACGATTAAAATCGTAAACTGAAAAATTTAATAAAGCTGACTTACCGCTAACAGGTGGACCAGTTCACGTTGTTAATTCTAATAATTTCAAATTTAACTAAAAAGGTTTCGACCACGTGTGTAATCGCAATAATAGCTGATATTATTATTATTTCGGTTCTCGCTGTCTGATGTCGTGAAAGGGTTCTGTTACTTATTAGAATGTTTGTACGAACGCATAGAACATGGCATTGTCGTTTGGGTTATTGACTATTGTGCATATTGTTCTATATAAATCGCGCATTGTTTGACAACAATATAATCATTTTACCAAAAGAATAATATTATATTTTGGTCTATTACAGCTACGGCTTACGGGTAATTTAACATAATAATAATTGTTATTGTAATGAATTTGATATATTTTTAGGAATAACTTATGTACGCGTAAGACCAATATAGGACGACCACTGACAACAATAATTAAAAGGGCTCTCCGTTTTCATTCAAATACAATATAATATTATTGTAATGGTGTATTATGGAAACGGCGATACACACACACACACACACACGCACGTTATCGTTTTTGTTGTATTCGTTTTTCGAACAGACGCCCACATGTCAAACTGACCCCGTGGGGCATCCGCTATACATGTAGGAGTTTTCCTCTTTTTTGTCACCAAGTCCCCGGTCCGCGTTTGGTTTCATTATCGACGTTTTTACGGCGAGATTTCCACCGTTTAGACGACCCTCTGACTAGCCATACCCGTGGCGTCCCGCGGCGATGTTGATTTGAAAATAACTTCCTCCGCGCTACCGCACGTCATCTCGTCCATCCGTTTCCAAGTCGCACTCGTTGCTCTCCAATAATATACCCCTCCCCCCCCCAGACCGGCTATCCCGCTATCTTTTCCCGCAGGACCCCATCCGACGGTGGTGTTGAAAATAACACACACATAATATAATATAGTGTCCACAACTCCAGCGCTCCGACAGCGCACGCCCCCGAAATCCAATGATTGACTGTTTACGACACGCATTACATTTCCAACCGGGAACCTCGCACGTGCGTTCAACATTGGAACAATGCGTTGATAAGGCATGTTTGTGTTTACACACTCTTGGTAAAAATTAAGTCCTATCTACCGTGAATATATAAAAGAATAAAATATCAATTATTAGAACTAGGCAAATTGTATAAATGGTTATCGCTGTTTTAGATTAAGCGATGATCGCGCGGGAAAGAATACTTAGTATTGGTCCAACAAAAATGATTATTGATTTAGGGACACAATTAATTTCTAGTTGGAATAACTAAATGAATAGTTGATTTAACTAAAAATTCAGTTGGACCAACTATGTATTTTTTCTGTGCGTAATTAAAATTTTTTTTTTTAACATTAATTATAATTTGTCATTCAATTAACATTGTACTGAAATAATTGCTGGAAAAATATAATATTACTAGAAACCCTCAACTTATTTATGCCTACTAAACGGAATAACATACATAGTTGGATCAACTAAAATTATAGTCAATATAGGGAAGGACAAACACAAAATTCATAGTTCAAATAACAAAATAAATAGTTGAGCCAACTAAACATTTATTTAAAGCAACTATTTCCAATTATAAATTTATTGTGTCTCAATATTAACCATAGTTTTAGTTAGTCCATCTATGTATTTTTTTTTTTTGTGTATTCAGTACACGCCGATTTAAGTTAAATAAATTATTGTTGAACATTTTATCGAATGAAAACATAAAGCAAACGTATCGAATATTCTAATCACTTACAATTATAAATAAAATCAATATTTAATGCTATGTAATAATTCTAAAGTAATGGTGCGTAGTAAACTTTTGTGCCTAAATACAACATATTTAAATTTTAATATTAGTGTTTGAGAACTTAATTGTTTATGGTTTTCCAATAGTCTCAAATTCTCTTATTAACTATTGCTTCCATTATCTTATTTAATTGTATCTCATAAAATATTCAAAATAAGGGCCGTTAAGTACTTTATATTAATTTGAATAAAAATAAAATCGCCTAAGATCAATGATATTATGTAATATGTACCTATAATTCATTTGAAACTGATTAATACTAACTATATAACTTTTCAAATAAACTTAATTCAATACTTATAATATATAATATTGTTTTAGTATAACAAGACTCGTTAATATGACGTTTCAATATACGACTTGGAAAGAAATAACCATAATAATACATTTTTAAGAGTCCCGTGTCCAAACTCGTTCATGTACAATCGTCGTTTTGGTTTTTGGAATGGTATATTATATTATACATGTTTTAAAACTTAATATAGAAAAATGTGGTTATATATTATTATATGTACCTATGCTATGCGTTAGAAACGATAAAAAAAATAACATAATAATATTACATTAAATATAGTCCTGCGTATATTGAAAAATATCCCAGTCATTATTACCAGGACTATTGTTGTGTGTGGGCTGATTACTAGACAGGTCAACCCAGAAATTATAAAACGCTGAATCATAATAATTATATGTATATTTACATTATTACACACATGATTATTATTATAACTGTCAGCCGGAGGTTTTCGGCGGTTGATCGAGAGGTGGTTATTGTGTGTGCACGGCCGCCCGGATGCCATCTTGTTACAACTGGATCCCGATAATTGGCAATAATCTAATTTAATGATTTTACAGAAAATACATTACATACGGTCCAAGGCTCTTGAACATATAAAAAACGCATCTCTCACTTATTT